ACACCAGCACCGGCAAATCAATCCAGCTCAAGGACTTGTGTCCTGACTGGAACCGCGGCCAGTGCACTCGTCGCCAAGCCGACTGCAAGCACGGAAAGCTTCATCGCTGCAGCCATCCTTGTGAGTCTGGATTCTGCGGCGCTTGGCAACACACGGCAGCCCAGCATAAAGCCAAAAAGTCGGGTTAGGGACAGCTCCCCCCCTCCAATGTGGCGCTTGGAGGGGGGGTGGCGCTGGCCCCCCCGCCGCTTCCAGTTGACCATCGCAGCGCAGATGCCCCCACCAGCAGCAACGCGTTGCCCAATCCTTCTTGCGCTCCTTGCGAGCCAACCCCCCAGCAGCCCCAGCCACGCAACACGCCTGCCAGTTCCGTGTGGTCCGGGGTGCAATGGCGCCCCTTCCCGCATGGCCTTCTGGTGGTTTGCTTGTGTGACGGCATGGGAGGCGCCTTGCCTGCCTTGTCTCGCTTGGGCTGCCCTGCCTACACAGCTTTTGTCAGTGAAGCCAGGCCTGACCTCCGGGCAATTTCAACCAAGCATTCCCCAGGAGCTGTTTATGTTGAAAGCCACGACCAATTTGACATAGCAACCATTGTCAGCGTGGTCCCAGCCTTTTCAGCTGCGCTCCTTGTGTCCGCGCCGCTCGGGCAACACTCGATGTGGGACTCCTTGAAGAGCTTTGCCAAGCTCAGGGACGCCCTGGCATCTGCCTGCCAAGAGTCTGACATTCCCTTCCGCTTCTTGGTGGAAACCTCCGCTTCTATTTCAACCGAAGACAGAAGCAAGGTCAGCCACTTCTTGGCGGATGCGGTGCCTTGCTTGTTCCACGCCGCCGATTTTGGTTGGCTGCATCGCCCTTGCTTGGTCTGGGGTTTGCAGGAAGCACTCCGGTCCCAAGCTCCGAGCTCCTGCAGCCATTTTTCCTCCCACCCCCCGAACACGCTCCTGCCTGGCCTGTGGCTTCTTCGCTGGCTTGGTCTACCGGACCCTCCAGACTGGAGCCCGCAGGATGCGAGCCTTTGCTGGCGCTACCGCGGTGCCAGTGGCGTGACGGGGACGCCCGTTGCAGGTTGGTCTCCCTCCTATCCGAACGGCAGGTTCCAAGCCTTGAACGCCCCGGAGCTTGACCAAACCTTCACTGAGCGCTCAGGGAATTTGCTCTACCCTGTCAACCAAGACTTCCCATCAATTGGCGTGCCTCTTGGACCTGAAGACCGCGAGGTGCTCTTGGGCTACACCGCCGGCTTCACGCAGGATTTGGACTTGGCGGCTGGAAACGGCCGCCTGTCCGCCTTGGCTCAGGCTGCTCACCTTCCTTCTCTGGCGCTTTGTCTGCGCATCCTCCTAGCCGACATGGCCTTGGAGAAGCCAGGAGGAACTTTGAGAGCCCCGCCCGCCACTCGGCATGTTGAATGCTCCGTATTTTTTGACCAAATTCTTGCGTTGCTCCCGGCAAGCTTTGCTCCTAACCACTTGATTGCAAATTGCAGGGAGCGCTTTCAAAGGGTGTGTCTTGCCCCGTTTTCGCAATTTGAGCATTGGCTTCTCCAGAGGCACTTCTCCGATGAATGCGGCTTCGACTGGCCTTCGCTTCGGTCAAGGGACCCAGCTCGCGCCATGAGACAGCCTAAATCCGATTTTAAGCCACCCATCCCTACCGATGTGTCTGCAGCGCAGCATGTCACCAGGGCAATGGGAATGACACACCCTTTCGCGCTCGAACCTGCGCTTGAAAAAGATTTGCAATTTGCCATTGAGCGCAATGTGGAGCTTCAGCTTGATTTGCAAGCAGAGCGTGACCTGTCATACAACTGTTTGCGCGATGTGTCCAGAGCTTTGCAGCCTTTGGATGATTGGTTGCTACAGCATATGGCAGGGATGAGACCAGCTTTTGTAGCCGCTCTTGTGGTTCTTTTGCGCTGGCCGGACAAAACGCTTCCACAATGTTTGGCAAACGGCTTTTTCTTGGTTGGCCCGATCCCCCCTTCGGGGATTTTCCGCCCCATTGAACCGCGGCCGGAGCCTCTTGTGCCATTGCTTGGCTCTGATGCTGCAGCGTATGTTGACAGCTTGGAAGCGGACACCAGGCTGCACCCCTCTGCAGACATCATCCTTTCCGAAAGTTTGAGGGAACAAAAGCTAGGGCTGTTAGGTCCCTTCCAGCCTCGTGCATATTTTGACAAACTTTACGGGCATGGTCTCTGGCGCCCCTTGAAAAGACACACTGTTCATCAGGGCGACAAGGAGCGCCCAATTGATGATGGCAAGGCCGGGCGCCATAATGAATGCTCCCAGCTTTCAGAAACCATCGTCAACCAACGGCCTGACTTCCCTGTTGCAGTCTTGCGCGCTTGGTTCTTTGCTGCTGTTCGCAAGGTTCACCCTGTTTCAGCAGCGCAGGAACATGTGTTGCAGTCGCAGCTCTCCCGGATGACCATTTTGGCGGGAACCGAAGATCTTTGGAAAGGGTACCGCCAAAACCACCCAACTCGAGAGCACATGGCTGTCAACATCATCACCTTTGTCCACCCAGGTTGTGGCAAACGTGTCTACGCGCAGTTGTTCGGGCTTCCATTTGGCTTAGCTTCCGCTGTGAACCAGTTCAATCGGGCCCCCCAGCTCATCACGGCAACCTTGCGGCGGGTTCTCTTGCTGGTAGGAGGTCATTACTTTGATGATTCCATTCAGTTTGAGGTTGACCGCCTTGCAGGGTCCCACAAGAGGCTGTTCGCCCGTCTTTTACAGATGTTTGGGGTTGTTGTCAGTCATGCAAAGCGACAGCACATGACTGTCATGCCCAGATTTCTGGGCATGGTCACTGACTTTTCGCAGGTTCACACATCGGGGCACATCACCTTGCATGGCTGTCCTGACACTGTTGTCATGCCCAGATTTCTGGGCTGGAAATGTCTTTGTTGGGCAGACCCTTGACGGCTGCGTTTGCAGGGCTCATTGCTCGCCAATACTACGAGAGCACTGACTCTTTAACGCCAGCCCTGCAGGGGTGCATTGAGTACTTATTGCTGGCTTTAAACACAGTGCCAGCCCGAAGCGTTCCTTGTTCCCCCGGCATGAGGCCCCGCTGCTGATTTACACAGATGCATCCACTGAAGCACCTAATGACACGGGTTGTCGCATAGGGTTCTGGATTATGGACCGTGGGTTGGTGCATGTCTCCAGTGTTGATGTACCTACGTCGGCCTTGTCACAAGGTTTTTTGCAAACGCGCAAGGTAACTTCAGGTCAGGCTGCAAAGGCCCGCGGGGTTCTCAACTGGCTGGAAATGTCTTTGTTGGGCAGACCCTTGACGGCTGCGTTTGCAGGGCTCATTGCTCGCCAATACTACGAGAGCACTGACTCTTTAACGCCAGCCCTGCAGGGGTGCATTGAGTACTTATTGCTGGCTTTAAACACAGTGCCAGCCCGAAGCGTTCCTTGTTCCCCCGGCATGAGGCCCCGCTGCTGATTTACACAGATGCATCCACTGAAGCACCTAATGACACGGGTTGTCGCATAGGGTTCTGGATTATGGACCGTGGGTTGGTGCATGTCTCCAGTGTTGATGTACCTACGTCGGCCTTGTCACAGTGGCTCGCACGGAAGACATACATCAATTTGCTGGAACTTTTGGCAGCTCCCATCCTTGCCACGTGTGCGCCGCAGCTGTTGCGCGGCAGAGATGTCCTATGGTTTATTGATAACCAAGCCGCTCTGGCAGCGCTCGTGAGATCTGCGTCTTCGGCACAGGACATAAGCCAACTTGCCCTGTTCACGGGTGTGGCGTTCACCCGCCTCAGGTGCAATCCGTGGTACGAATGGATCCCTTCACGTCAAAACCCAAGCGACCCGTTGTCTAGGTCCGGGCTTCAAGATCCCCATGTCCGGGAACAACTAGCTAGTGGCAACTGGAAACATTTGGTTCTCCAGCCCCAGTGGTTTTCCCTGGCCCCAGATCTTGTTGCAGTTTCGCGGTTAATCTCAGCGTTGGGGTGATAATCCTAAACACGGCGTTGGGGTGTTTGTGCGCAGTCAACACCATGGCAGTGTTTTTGGCTGAAGGCCTTACACTGCTTGTGATTTGCCAACGCTGACATTCAATCCGCAGTCACAGACTGAAGTAAGAGAGAGGCAGCCTAGAAAGGGTGCTCGCAGCTTACCGTGATGGGCATGGTGTTTAGGACTGGCTTTCTTGGGTGCACATGTTTTCACGGAAGCCGCGCATGCAACCGCTCACTTCAAGGCAACGCCTCTTTGATTCCCTCCCACCCGCCCATGAGTCAAGGCCACTGCCGGCTTTGGGCCCCAGGAGTCGCACGATGGCTTGGGCTGAATGTGTCCAGCCAAGATTGATGCTGGCAGGGTTGGCTGAAGGCCTTCTCTGAGGGTGTTTGTGTGCAAACCACACCGTGCCAGTGTTTTGGCTGAAGGCCTTGCACTGGGGGTGTTTGTGCGCAGTCAACACCATGGCAGTGTTTTTGGCTGAAGGCCTTACACTGCTTGTGATTTGCCAACGCTGACATTCAATCCGCAGTCACAGACTGAAGTAAGAGAGAGGCAGCCTAGAAAGGGTGCTCGCAGCTTACCGTGATTTTTTGAGGGGATTTGGCTACGCACTTGTCCGTACGAACGGGCTCCCTCCTTGCAAGGCCCAAACACGTGCAAGGGCACAGCTAAGAGGCGTGTTATAGCACAATCTAGCCTCAAAGCGATTGACTTCAACCACTCTTGGGGTCCAGGGAATGTATGAGAAGAATGCTGCATCCGTCATAGCTGGGGAGGGGTAGGGGCCTTGTTGGTAGATATTTGGGGGCTTCGGGCTTGAGGGAAGCATGTTTAATTGTGAAGGT